ATTTATGCCCATTTCAAAGAAAGGTGATCCAACAGACTGTGGAAATTCTCGAACAATATCATTAATGTCACAAACCAATATCACACACAAGTAAAATTTTGCTAAACATAATTCAAAGACAGTTGCAGCAGTACATTGACAGGGAACTTCCAGAAATTTAAGCTGGATTCAGAAGAGGATGAAGGACAAGGGACATCATGCTGATGTCAGGCAGATCTTAGCCGAAAGCAGAAAGATATTTACCTGTGTTTTATTGATTATGCAAAGGCATTTGATTGTGTTGATCATAACAAATTATGGGTAACATTGCAAAGAATGGGAATCCTAGAACACTTAATTGTGCTCATGAGGAACCTGTACATAGATTAAGAGGCTGTTGTTTGAACAGAACAAGGGGATACTGTTGTTGTTGTTGTTGTTATGTGCCGTCAAGTCAGCCCTGACTCATAGCGACCCCTCCTTGGGTTTCCGAGGCAGTATCACTACGGAAGTAGGATTGCCCAACCTTCCTTCCGAGGAGTGGCTGGTGGGTTTGAACCGCCAGCCGTCTGGTTAGCAGGCAAGTGTCTTAGCCACTATGCTACCAGAGCTCCTACATGGTTTAAAATCAGGAAGGGAGTGTGTTGAGGTTGTATCCTTTCACCATACTTATTCAATTTGTGGCTAAGTAAATAATCTGAGCAGCTGGGCTATATAAAGAAGAATGTAGCATCAGGATTGGAGAAAGACTCATTAACAAGCTGCAATACACAGATGACACAACACTGCTTGCTGAAAGTGAAGATGACTTGAAGCACTTACTGATGAAGATCAAAGACTACAGTCTTCACAGTGGATTACACCTCAACATAAAGAAAACAAAAGTCCTTGACACTGGACCAATGAGCAACATCACAATAAATAGAGGAAAGATTGAAGTTGTCAGGGATTCCATTTTACTTGGATCCACAATCAACATCCATGGAAGCAGCAGTCAACAAATCAGATGTTGTATTATACTGGGAAAACCTGCTGCAAAAGGCCTCTTTAAAGTGTTAAGAAGCAAAAATGCCACTTTGAAGATTAAAGTGTGCCTAACCCAAGTCATGGTATTTTCAATCACCTCATATGCCTGTGGAAGCTGGGCAATGAATAAGGAAGACTGAAGATAACTTGATGCCTTTGAATTGTGATTTTGGCAAAGAATACTGAAAATACCACTGTCAGAAGAATGAACAAATCTCTCCTGGAAGAAGTGCAGTTGGAATGCTCCTTGGAAGCAAGAATGGCCAGACTTCATCTCACCTACTTTGGTTGTCTTCCCTGGAGAAAGATTTCATGCTTGGTAAAGTGGAGGGTTAATGAAAAAGGGGAAGACCCTTAATAAGATGGATTGACACAGTGGCTGCAATGATGGGCCCAAGTATAGCATAACTGTTAAGATGATGACACAAGACAGGGCAGTGTTTCTTTCTTTGTACATAGGGTTACTATGGGTCAGAGCTGATTCAACAACACCTAACAAGATGTTAATAAGCAGGATTAGTGGCAGTTATGTTAATGAGGCAGGATACATTCTATAGGATTTCATTGTATCGCGAGTCAATCTCTTGAGATATAAAACAGATTAAACAAGTGAGCAGAGATCAGAGAGATTTACTATCACCAAGAAAAAAGAGCCAGGAGTGGAATACGTCCTTTGCCTAGGGTCCCTGCACTGGGAATCTTCTAGTATCAGGAGGAGACAGAGACAGAAAGCCTTCCTTTTGAGCCAGTATTGTCAATTTAGACTTCAAGACTCCTAAATTGTGACAAAATAAATTTCTCTTTGTTAAAGCCACCCATTTGTGATGTTTATTATAGCAGCACTAGATAACTAAGCCAGTGTTGTTGTTGTTGTTATGTGCCCTCGGGTCGGACCCGACTCATAGCGACCCCTCCTTGGGTTTCCAAGGTAGTATCACTATGGAACAAGATTGCCCAACCTTTCTTCTGAGAAGTAGTTCAGTGAAAACTGCTTGTGCCATCTAGTCTCTTTTTCCAATTTGCAAACGCCCCCTTTATCCTTTTGGTTGGCAGCCCCAGAAGCACAAAGACAAAGAGAGTATGCAGATACGGCCATTTGTGCATGGTCCAAAAGAAAACAAGAAAGCTGGAGCCCACGTCTAAGGATTTTGTAATCTCAAATGTACAAAAGGCAAAAAGCTTCATTAATGCCACTTTGCCACTCACAAAAGAGATAAAATGCTCCATGGATTGAAAAATATGATTTAACATCATTGTATTTATTAGGTTCTGAAACAATACACATTCACATCCTTTTAGAATACAGTACATTTGGCACAATAATGTTTACAATGAAATAACACTAATGAATGGCAAGAGATTAAAATTACATCCAGGAAAAAAAAAAAAGTACAAATGAAGCATCACAATACAAAAAAAAAAAAAAATCCCTACAGTTGAATACATCTTATATTTAGCCAGAATTATTTTGCACATAATTTAAAAAGAGGTAATTTTTTAGCCTTCTTCTTCTTTTTTTTTTTTTAAGCAAGAATTGCATTTTTTTTCCACCTTTGGAGAAAAAATTATTTTACTTCACAAAGTCCATAATGAGAAAACACAGCACAGCTATCCTTCATATATTTTTTTGGAATATTTTTGCACTCCATTTTTTTTTCTTTATGAAAGTGGGGGGAGATCTGGAAAGATTAGAAAGGATCAGCAGAAATGTAACAGTGTGTCCATTTCCAAAGTCTTGTGAAAAATAAAACGAAACAATGAATATTCAAGGAATGTTGTTGTTGTTATGTGCCATCAAGTCCGCCCCAACTCATAGCGACCCCTCCTTGGTTTTCCGAGGCAGTATCACTACAGAAGTAGGATTGCCCAACCTTCCTTCCGAGGAGTGGCTTGTGGGTTTGAACCGCCAGCCTTCTGGTTAGCAGTCAAGTGCCTTAGGCACTATGCTACCAGAACTCCTATTCAAGGAATAGACAAGGCTTTTTCTAGAGACTTGCAGTGGATTTCAATTTACCTGTTGGAGATTTAGTCTACCTGTTTTTTGTATCATGAATTTCTCTGTTGGAGAATTTCATGAGCTCCAGCTCCAAGCTAAAGATACCCAGCCAGCTGGCTCTGGGTGCTGAAGGAACCTCACTGGGTTAGGCTAGTCACTGAAAGACTTCCTGGAGCTGCTGGGTGGAATGTATTATTTGACTTCTCAGCAAAAATGCCTTGTCCAGTAGGAAGGGCCCAGCCTCCACTGGCATGTGAACACCACCAAACCCTGTGGACAAGGCCATTTTACATTGCAGTTAGGTCTTGCCTGGCTGTCCAAAGTTCATAATGGTGAGGGAAGCAGAAGAGATACAGAGAGCAGTAGTGACGCATGGATATGATGGGCAGTATTGTCGTGTCTTCCTAAGAAATGAGATGATGCCACCATGAAGACATTTCTGTGCTTGTACTCAACTCCGAAAGATAGTCTCTCCCCAGTAGGTCAAGTTACCGAAGATAAATTAAATTAATCTAATGTTCTTCATGACTGCACTAGTATGCCAAATACATGAATTGCTGTAGCATAATATTTAATATTTGAAATTATCATAAGAATAGATAATAATTACACCTGAGTTTTTTAAAAACAAAAAGAGAACTGAAGGTCATCATTGGTAACAAAGGCTATGACTAGCCAGATGTAAATATGGACAAAATCTCTATGGGCTTGAGATAGTCCCAATCCAAGCTTTGAAGCCATCATCAAAAACATTCTTTTCTCTTCCTCATCTCGATCACAGCACAAGAGAACTATACACAAGATTTAATACAGCTTAACATATGTTTACATCTTTTAAAATACACCAAAATGAAATAAACAATACAAAGGACCCCCCCCCCCGAAAAAAAAGAAACATGTCTTATCTCTTGGTAACTTGAACCAATACACTTACAGAGTATTGCACCTGGACATTGTTATAATTATTCTTTCATAGACTAAAGTTTTATAATATGCCTGAACATGCAGCAGTTGATACCTCTATATTCAATGAATTAATTCCACAGGCCTTGCAGCAAACACTATATACAAAAAGTCTCAAATGTACAAAAGGCAAAAAGCTTCATTAGTGCCACTTTGCCACTCACAAGTATATATATTTAGGGGAAGCTGGGAAATCCACGTGCAACAGTTGGAATGGATTCCATTCCCTGCTAAATCAGTTCAGTAAAACAGGTAATCAATGACCTCCGGGAAACATAACATATACACAAAGCCACAGAGAACCCTTGGAAATCAAAGAACATAACACTGTTAGCATATCTACAGGAGGTAACATCACATTCATTAAATAGTGTCCACATGAGTTACCATTTCATGTTACACACAAACAAAACTCCCAGTACATCTCACCACATTGTCAATTTTCCCGTAAGTTGCTCTTTAGTTCTCTTGATTCCATCTGCATAACCCATGCTTAGGCTCATTCTGCTTGTTCCAAAAGCAGATGTTTCATATTTAACTTTACACATTTAATTGTTAAAAACCACGACACAGTAGTACTACCATTTTGTAGAAGTGCACAAAAACAACACATCGCTGCAGAAAATAAATAAGAGTTTATGCTGGGGACTTAAGGTGGAACTGGAAAGAGAATTTGGGAGCCGAGTTTTGCTAGAACCGATGTCTTGGCCATCACTGCAGTGGCCTTTGTGTCCAGGTAGAACTTTAATGAGGAGCACGACTTCCTTCTCTCTGAACTCATATAGCCCCCAATGCCACTAAAGCATGAATAGCATAAACCTTGGACAATTTGTTTCTCACTGTATATTAGCCCTTTAATAGCTACCTGTATTAATTGGAATTCATATCTTTTGGCCAATTAGGAAGTGAATTTTACAATATATTTTTCAAATGTTAATACAGTTCAAGATCAAATTTCTTCTTCCACAAGATACATGCTTACAAGACTTTGGCATGCCTAAAAAGCTAACACCAAAGCAAGCAAGAATCAGACATTCCAGAGCAAATTGACACAAGCAGCCAACTGTGCCCCTCCAAGTCTCCCTCTCTTCATAGGGCATGCCTTGATGGTGCCCACTCCCATACACCAGTCTCCAGTCTCTTCTCCTGGACAGAAGGGCAGGGGATGGCCGGCCGATACAGGTAGGATGAGAAGCGAGGGTTGTCGGTCCCTCTTTGTCCAATAGCAGAGCCACAGCCTTCTTGCGTGCTTTTCTTTTTCTCTTTTTCTTTGCAGTGAAAGGAAATGAAGTTGCTTCACTGCCAGGTGCCCCTGAGGAGTGAAACCAGGTTTGCCAACCGTACAGTTATGGCAGTGTGTATGGCTAACTTTTGACCCAACATGGTTCTGCATTACTGATGAGACAGAAACCAAGAATGCCTTTTGGTCACCAGGTGGAAGGAGAGAGGAGCTGGCTTGGGTAAGGGGATGCAATAAATAGATAGCATAAATGGGACTGGGGCTTTGGGGAAGAGAAGTAGTTCACAACCTTCTGAGCCTCTGGAAAGCAGGAATCTTCTCGGCACCCCTTCTTGCAGCATCAAGAACCTCCATTTGGAGTGGCCTCTCACGGCATCAAGTCTTCACCAAAATAAGAGAAGCCTTTGAATTCCTCCTGGTTGATCTGCTTCACAATCGCTTCATCCACAAGCGTGAGTACTGGCTCTTCCCGGGTAAAGTCTTGGTCAAAGTTATTGACGTCTCTTTTGGTTTTCTGCGGAAAGAAAGGAAAAAGCACTGACTCAAGGCTGACCGTCTCCTCCAGAGCCCCCCAATGGGAGTATCCAGCTGATCAGCCTCACACCAAAGCAGGCCACTAGCTACTGGGAGAGGTAACAATGGATGGCCCCAGGACCAGATGGTGATAGAGAAGAAGAATGAGTCAAAGTGAGAAGGAAGAGAGGTGAGAGGGTGTGATGGAAAAGCAGGGAAGTGGGATCCCCACAGACTCTGTGTGTGGAATAGAGGGTGTGTGTGTTTGGCGACAGTGGGATACAAAGTTCCCATTTCGTACTTTCCCTTCCAGCATCTGCCATAACTCTCTGGCTCCACTGAGGCCTCCTTGCCTGAGACCCAGGGAACAAACTCAAATCCCTCTCCCAGATAGTCTCCATACGTCTATCTTCCCTGGAGGTAAACCAGCTGCCTTTAAGTTGGTTCTGACTCATGGCCATCCCATGTATGTCAGAGCACAACTGTGCTCCATAGGGTTTTCAGTGGCTGATTTTTTGGAAGTAGATTTTTTGGAAGTAGATCACCAAGCCTTTCTTCTGAGGTGCCTCTGGGTGGACTGCCAACCTTTAAATTAGCAGTCAATTGTGTTAACCATTTGCACCACTCAAGAACTCCTTCCCTGGAGGTAACCCCCCCCCCCAAACTTGCCATACTTGGTTTATATGATTTTTCTCCATAAGTGGGAGGGTGAGTAGGGGGGTAAGACCCTCACCTACATGCTCTCACTATGAACTCTATTCTATGTTCCCACATTATTTCTAGTATACTCAACACACTGACTTATAATGATGTATTTACATTTTTGTCCAGACCAAGATGTCCTTAAAGACAAGGACTTCGTCTTATTCAACCTACAATAAATATCTTTCAAATGCATAAAACCCTGAGCAAAATGACACTCAGCTCAGAAGGACTCATACACAGTCAGAGGTTCAAGTTCCCTAAATAGCACTGTAAGGCTTTTGGTCTTTAGCATCCAGGGATGGAGGGCAGCAATTAATCAATCCACAGACAAATTATGGGTTTTGGAGGAAGCTGGGAAGTGTAAATAATGTTGTCTCTAGGGGCTTCCACTTTAGTTGGGGAGCTAGCAGATCCATCTAGAACACATTTCACTGGTTAGAAAAAATATCCATGGAGAAGTCAGGGCTTGGGCTATAAGGCTTGAGGAATGGATTACAATTGTGTTGCAACAGACCAGGGGAGGAAGGCACCTTGGCAGGAAGAGAGATGGGAACAAAGGTGGGCAGCAGGAACATGAAAGGTGTGCGTATAGGACAATGAGTATGCCTAGCTGCTTGGGACATAGCCCAGTGTGAGGATGGTGGGAGGCAAGGGTGGACTGCAGAGGCCTTCACCCCTAGTACATTTTATAATGTGATTGAAGGAGCGCAGGCATGCTTTATCAGACACTGATTAATTACTATTACCCAGTATTGGAGATGGAATGAGTCTTGTAGAAAGATTAGAATAATTATTTGCAGGAGGAATAATATTAATACACACTAAGTTCTATGGATTAACCTAAAAGATGTTAATAAGTAGTCCATGAAAAAATTGGTTCTCAGGCAAAAATTATATTTTGTATCCTGCTCTTGGAGGTTTGCAACTTGGCAAATTAAAGGCTAGGAGAAGTCCTCTAGTGAAGAAACTTGGTTCACTTTGTTTAGACCAATCTTCCCCAAATTTGACCCCCAACTTTATTTTCTTCTTCGTAATCAGCCTATTAGCATCTCTCCCAGCAGTAGAGTTCTGCAGAACGGTTTGGGAAGTCCTGCTTGGCAGTTTATAAAGCACTTTCACACTCATTTATTTGATCCTTGGAACAGGCAGGTATTATTATCCTGATTTTATAGCTGAGAAACTGTGGCCCAAAAAAGTTTGGTAACTTGCCCAGAGCCACCCAACTAGTTAACAGCAGAGCCAGAACTCTAATCCAGGTCTCATCATCATGCCTCCCATGGCATGGAATGGTTGGAAATATAGACAGTGGAGAAACACGAAAACAAAGAGTCCAGTTCAACCTGGAGGAATTTATGTAAATATGCCAGGCTGAAAACAAAGCTGGAAAGGCTTGCTAGTAGGAAAGCATGCAGGAAATTGGGCTGTAGGTCAGGGATAGGGGGGCATGTTTTGTGACTGCCCCAAATTCTGACCAGAATCAGAAGAGCATGGAGCAGGGATGAGCTCATTTCTAATCATTCAACATCTGTCTGTCCTGCTTAGGGAGTCTTTCCTCTGGGTTTGAGCTGCCTAGTTCAGTAGGTATCAGGGTCCTTGGAGGGGAGCCAGAGAGGAGGCACAGAAAACCCAAGGCTGGGAACCAGGACCTGCAGTGAGAGGATGTCCTGTGTTTCCTCTTGAAATGGGAAAGCTGAGGAGTGGTTTAGTCTTGTCTGTCAGGAGGGTACAGTCCAGGGCAAGAGGCCTATCTGTTCTCCTTCTCCAGTGTATACAGAGTGAGAGAAAAAGGAGGGCCCTGCACAGAGAGGGACTTCAAAGAAGAACAACAAAAAGGTCTCCCCTAAAAGATAATGAAAAGGGAGAATCATTACTTAGGGAATACCAAGTTTCTGTTAATTGTAGGGGAATGATTTGGAAAATAACAGTGATAACTGTTACACAACCAAAATAATCAATGTCACTGAATTGTACATGTAATAACTGCTGAATTATCAAATTTTTTGTATTGCACAATTAAAAGAAAGTTTCTGCTAATAAAGAATAAACAAAGCCAAAAGAACGTCTCTCCTAGTGATGCCTATAAGGAGCTCTGGTCGTGTAGTGGATAAGGCACTTGACTGCTAACCAGAAGGGCAGTGGTTCAAACCCACCAGCTGCTCCACAAAAGGAAGATGGGGTGATCTACTTCCATAAAGATTTACAGCCCTGGAAACCCAATGGGTGTCACTATCAGTCGGAATCAACCCAATGGTGGTGAATTTGGTTTTTGAGTTTGGTAGCGACGCCTCTTGGACTTGGGTGGGTGAGCACCTAGGGAAAGGGTGTAGTGACACCTCTGCTGAAGATCTTTATTGAAGGAGGGATGGGTTATCCATTCTTGAGAGAGGAGGGGTTACTGGCAAGGGACCTCCATCTACAGAGTATAGGCTTGCAGTGCTGGGGGACTCAGGTCCAGAGAGAAAGGAGAGGGACAATGACTTGTGAATCATCCCAGAAGGCAATCAAGGGTCATCCTCCCTGGGGGCCAGAGGGAAAGGGGAGTAGGAAGAAATAGTGGTGGAAGACAAAGATGAGAAGCAAGGAGTAGGGCAAAGGAAAACTCAATTTTTAACATCACCAAGAATGGGTCTGTATCCTCAGGGTAAGGCCATCTCTTTCCAGGTTCCCTCTTAATTGGCTGTTAGTGAGGGGGAATATGTATACAAAAGATCTGGGCAAATCTGTGAATTCTCTGGCATTGGCTCTCCTGGTCTACCTAATCATTTGCACTTCATATATCACTCATTACTGTCCATTAGTCACAGAAACTTGTTTCATTCCCTGAGGTCAATTGAATGTATTGACAAGACTCGATTCCACAGGATGTCCAAATCCCAAAGCTCTCTGACCATATATTAGGGAAGCAGGCTGAATCAACACAGCTAAGGGCATCATTCCAGGAGATTAGCTCCTTGGTGGGTGAGCTTGGAGAACAACTTGGCTCAGCTCTGGGCTTCTCAGGGTCCCAGAATCATCTGTCGCACTTGAGCAAATGTATCATTCTTCATGACGTCTACAGAAAAACATAACTGTATCATCTCCCTCCTTAAGCAACCTGACCCAGGCCTTTTTTTCTTGGAAACATATTAGGTGTGGGTCAGTTACCCATTTCCAGTTCAAATAACCAACTATGTGTAACTCTTTTTTTTCAAACTTTGAGGCTTAGAAAGTTTCTCAAAGCAAATATTTCTGGGAAATTCCACCCCCTGTTTATGGCATGTTGGTAGCACAACATGCTGAAATTTAGAGAGGACCAGGTATGATATTCTTTACTCACTGATTTCATTCTTTGAAAAGCTGTTGTCTTCCTAACAGAGCAGGCACCAGACTTGACTCCAAGGTTCCAAGTGGGCAAACTCCCAATGACACTCCCTGTCTACTCTGACCCTCAGTTATTACATATGCCTCCCTTAAAGCACTGCACCACCTGAGAGGTTACACTGGGACACAAGGAACAACATTCTAAGTCTTCAAAGTCTACTTCCTCCATGAAGCCTTTCCCACATCCTATGCTCACACTTGGGGGAGGCTGCATAGAGTAGGAGAAAGAGCCCTGACTGGACTCTCATACTGGTACTGTCCTTTCCTGGTATGTGAAACTGTGTGAAGTTAATCTTTTTGAGTTATGGTCTTCTTGTCTATAAAGTAAGGGTAGCAAAAAACACCCTATTGGCTACTTTTTTGGGTGGTGGCATTGGTGGCACAGTGGTTAAGCTCTCAGCTGCTAATCTAAAGTTCAGCAGTTCAAACCCATCAGCTGCTCTGTGAGACAAAGATGTGGCAGCCTGCTTCAGCAAAGATTACAGCCTTGCAAAGCCTATGGGGCAGTGATACTCTCTCCTATAGGGTCACTATGAGTCAGAACTGACTCGATGGCAACAGGGTCTGTGTCAAGGTCTGCACCAAGGCACCTAACATTTGGCATCTCATTTTGTTCTCAAAGCAATCTCCAAACCAATACAAAACCCACTGCAGATGAGTCAATTACAACTCATATAGAACTGCCTCATAGAGTTTCCAAGGCTGTAATCCTTATGGAAGCAGACTGCCACATCTTTTTCACGCAGAGTAGTGGATTTACACTGCTGACCTTGCAGTTAGCGGCTGAGCACTTAATCCACTTCTTAATCCATTGCACGAGCAGGGCTCCTCTGACACATAGTGGACACCTAATAATGTGAGTTCCTATCCTGCCTCTGAATCTTAGCATCTGTGTGGGTGGACACGCATCATGTAGTCTGACTATGTTACTGGTTG